CACCTAGACCGCCCAGAAGGCTGCAATTTACCAACTTCACCGTGAATGTGGGAAAATGCCAACTTCATGTTAGGTGTCGTAGAGAGCGCATGACAAGGGTTGCAGTGAATCCTTCAAGTCTTGCATGGGTTCCAACTTTGGCAGGCAAAGCTCGCAAGAACACAGCTTTGAGAGCATGGGTGGCATTGAAAAACCAACTTTGGCAGGCAAAGCTCGCAAGAACACAGCTTTGAGAGCACACATTCGGTAACTCGGAAGTTTCTTGGTGAAAAAACTTGTTTTAACATATTTTTGGTTCGCACACACACACAGTTCACTCACACACACATATAGGCTGTGTCTGGAGATTCTCCCCTTTCACCCTTTCACCCTGTGACCCGGAAGTTTCTGGAGTTCCTTTTTTGGGGATTGGCTGGGTGGCCACCTACCCTCACCCTTTGTTTGTGGGTACCCGGGTGGTTTGCCGAGGGGTACCTCGAACTTCGATCGATGCGTTGGCTTTCCCGCCCACTGGTTTCATGGCTCAATTTTTCTGCAGACCGCGGGCGCGGTCAAGGGCCCTCGGGATCATCTTGGTCCGAGCCCAAGACGATCAAATCGAGCATGACTCGATACCTGTGCATAGCAGTCCTCTCTAAAGTGAGGGCGTGGCACTTATTGCAAATCCTTGCCATTTGTCCCATCAAGGATTCATCTGCGTAGCAATGTTCATACCTGAGATCTTTCACAGGGTTTTCAATTATGGCTACATAGCTATTGAGTCTAAGGTTGGAAAGATTAATCTAAAAGGCCAAACACTTTTCTGTGTGAGTCAGGCCACCGCACATTCCGAGCACTTTTGTCGATGTACTCCACCAAATGGCAGAAGTAGTGAAACTTTGGGGTCAGCTTGTATTGCTGCTTTGGACTGCGTAAATTCTTGAAAGCCAACCGTTGGTAGAATTGAAGGAAGGCAAAGCCTGCGTCCACTGTTTCCCGCTTGTCATTTGGACTAAGCCAATCTGGGGAAGTATCCAACTTGTATTGAAACTGCGCCAACGCAAACGAAGTGCACAAAATATCACTCTCAGCACCTTCCTCCGTCAACCACGCATGCGACCAGTAAATCAAATGCTTGACAATCATCGCTTTGTATTGCGTGGTGAGCTCGGGTTTCTCACCCCAGCTCTCTTTCCCAAACCTGGCCAAATTGAATCTCAGCGGTGCGTAGGGCACGCGGTTCTCCTTGCACCATGCTCGGTGGTGCCAGTATGCGTGCAAAAGGGACCGTTCAAGTCTATCCAGTGTAATTGCAGGGTTGGTCCGGATAAGATGGTCGATGATGAGACCAGGAATCACACACAGGGCGACTCCCAAATGCAGCGTATGCATCAAATCCTCACTGCATGATTGCCAGCGAAATCTATAGATGGATCTAGGGGGAAAGTTGAAAGAGAACACAAAGAGAAGGCAGGTAGAAAAGAAACAAGAGCAAACCATTACTGCGCCAATTAAATGCACAGCCACATCTAAGTTCCTCTCTTTGCGCCATCCAGGTACAGCCACCCATGCGGTCTGCTTGTTGGGCGGGTTCAACTCAATGAATTGGGAATGAGTCAGCCTTGTGTGTTTCCAGGCGGCAGCTGGGCCAAAGTCACCATAGGTCAGGAGTTTGCCTGCGAAGTCGTGCTCGCAGCAAAGGTTGGCCATGTAGTTTCTGCATAATTTGTGGATCATAACACGGGCTTGCAGGTCCCCCCTTGAACGCACTGAAAGCCCCGCGCCATCCACTTGCAAACTCAGAATTTGCTCTCTCCGCTTCTTTGCTTCCAGCTGGCCAGTCCTGACCATAGAAATCCTTGCAAGGATAGCGACCCGTTTGAAGGACAGTGCAGACACAAGCCACAATCTTCGCCAGCGCGTCGTGTGTCTGTGGTTTTGCAACCAGCGCGTCACGAACCAAGCAAAGCACTATTTTGTTCTCCACTGTGCTGCCACCCTTTTTGGTCATGCTTGAGTAGCTGTAGATCCAACTCTCTTGTTGTTTGTATATCCGAACTCCATCCACGTGGAACACAATAGGCACTGTCCTCTCAGGCTCAGTGAGCTGCAGTGTGCTGTAGAAGTCTTCTCCACGCACTTTGTGCCAATATTCCTTTGCTTTTGCCAAACAAAGCTCATAACAAAGCTATTTTCCCTATAGCCCTGATATGTTTTGTGGGAACCTAGCCTTCCAAAACTTAAAAGGCCCTTCACCAGTCCAAGAATCACTGACCTTGAGAGAAGCCTTTTCAGGCTTGTCAGCAATCCAGCCCTCCAGAGCGTTGCGTTGGTCCATGAAGTGGAATACATCCCAGGGCCACAGAATAGCAACCTTGTGGTCGACCAACTTCAGCTCAGTGTCCCCCTCCTCGTTCACAACCTCTTTCAGGTAGGGTATTTCAACCGAATCCAAATCCAGATGGCTGTGTCTCTCATACCACCTGAAGGGAAGAAAAAGTGAAATTGAAATTGTTTAGACATCCCACAACACTAATGGTCTGAAGAGAGGAAAACGGAGATTGAAATTGCAGCGGGCCCCCAAGCCCACGAATTACACATTGTTGTTTTGAGATTGGGCCTTTGGAAACTTCTCTCTTCATGGCCACTCCCATGCCAGCTTGCCAGCAACCGCGCTAGGCCGCACGTAGACCCATCCCTAACGAGGCAGCAGGCATCTAAACATATTTGGGCAGCGGATGACACCTGTCAGGGCCAACTTGTTTCCGGTAAGAAACAGAGATAAAACCCTTAAAGCAGTTTTTGAACAAAACAACATTGCTTTTGGGAACCCCACACCCCGGAGCAAAGCTTGGCAAGTAGCCGCTTAGCAGAGAAGCTTGCGTTGTCCGCCAGGTAATGCCCTTACATGGTTTTTCAATGTCCCTGGTAAAAGGCAGGAGGTAGTTGAAGGCCCCCACAATAAAAAGGTGTGGTGTGTCTTTCTTAGGGCGGCCCCACCAAAGGTCACCAAAGATAAAGAATGGAGTCTTGATTTCTCCCAGGCTCCATCGATGGCCCCGAGCTTCCTCGAGGATGCGGAAGGACAGCTCTGGGACTGGGAGCGTGATCTGGATCGGGCCCTGCGTGGGATTGGACAATGACCATGAAAGATCGTCCCATCCAAATAGTATGTTCAGACTCGACCGCCGTTTTGTGACCCTTTGCTTCTAAGCTTCCAACTCCCGATGAGATTATGATCCAATGCTTTCACTGGATCCCCCGAACTTGCCACATATGCGACAAGTATGCTAAGTATGGAACTTCAAACCCAGGAGGGTGAGCCATGAGGCCAACAAGAGGTAAGCAACAAACATGAGACGAATAGGGCTATTGAACAATGAACACAGCAACAGTATATAGGGTTGTTGGAAACCTACTGAACATATTGTTTTGAACTCTGGCACTCCTAAGGCAAACATACCTTCCACTGTTGATCAGGACGCTACTTCTTAGTCTTGGAAGCCCCCTTAGACTTCCTCTCCCCTGCCGTAGGCTTCTCCGTTTTCTCATTCTCTTTGACTTCTTTCTTGTCAGTCTTTTTGGCATTCTCCGCCGCACGGACTAACGCCTTGGCGAGTTGAATCTTCTCTTTGGCAAGTTGCGTAAGCTGGTCCACCTCCACAGGGTTCAGAGCTGTCATATGATGGGTTTAGAGCCGTCATAGGTTTAGAGCCGAGCTGTAAAATAAAAACATTTTAAACACATAACACGACGAAACCCTTTGCCATCACCACCCCACCTCATCCACGATTGGTTGGTAGTGCTTGCCCTTCTTGCAGCCTTTGTTGACAAGGTCTTGCAACTTAGATGCTGCACGTTGTAGCTGGATCTCCACTGCCTTCAAGTGTTTGATGAGCTCTGAACTCATTTCCAGAGGCTTCAACTTGAAAGCGTTGTCCCTGCATGTGTTGGCATCCCGAAGAATTTTGGTGATGAGCGCACCCGCCTTTTCCTCCCAAGTCTTTGCCACCACCTTTTCACCTCCTTTGCCATCCTCCTCTTTGTTGTCACCTCCTTTGGGTTTCCGCGGTTTCTTGCCTGATCCACCGCACGCGGTCTGCATGAAGCCAACAGCCTTCTTCATGGCACCATCACTTGTTGTCGCACCTTTCAGGCCTTCTCCTGAGAGCACCCCACCTTGGTCCGTGAACGCTTTCAAGACTTCAGGCGAAGCAGCCCCTGAAATTTCCATAGACGTAATCTTCTTGAACTGCTGGACGTTGGAGACATCCAAACTGATCAGAACAAACCAGAGGTTCTCCCCTGGGCACTCCGGGTCCTCCACATAGAGTCCCTGCTCCTTCTTTCGTTGAATGATTTTGTTGCCCTTGTCAGTGCCGTGCTGGTCATGGATCCACTTCTCCGAACGGAAGCCATACCTGCACCCATTGCTGGACTTTTCCTTGGCTGCCAAACGAGAACAAAAAGAACTAACGCAAGAGACGTAGAACCCCACCCCAAACAACATTTAAAAAAAACAACAACTTACAATGGCAAATCGCAAGTCACCTCTAGCGATTGAAGGTGTTTGGCGGTAATCTTTGCTGTGTCCCCCTCGTTCTCCACATAGTCTTTGAAAAGGCTATTGCGCCCTTCTTCGGATTGAACCCGGGTTGCCAAGGAAGCTGGGAACCTCTTCTTGTTCTTGATCCACCTTTTGTATGCTTGCCACTCTTTGAGGTGGGTGCAGATGCTGAAAAGAAGCCAAGGACAGAAAAGCGTG